GCAATAAAATGTAAATAAACAAACACAATTTTATGCGACGTGGCTTTCCTATACAAAAGAACCAAACACGAATGCACTACATACATTTATGTTGACTTAGGTTTTTCTGCATAAAGTCTAATGCAGACTAAGCCTAATACAGTACATGCAATCAATCGGACCTATGTCATCGAAGCTGCTACCAACTATGGCCACTCGTATCGCGACGCTTCCACTACCATCGCGGCCAAACCTCCATCCTCTAATGAAGGTGGCACCCTACCACCTCGCCTCATGTCTGGTGCCATCTTCTGAATTTTTTATTTTTTAACCTTTTTTTTAAAAAGTTTTTCACAAATATATCCCTGGAGAAAAGATTTCATAATAAAATGTATGTAGCCATGTCACCTCCACGTGGGTCTCGAGCCCAAGAGCTCGGCGCCAGGGACGCTGGGGCCGAGATATGTTAGCTCGGCGCCAGCATCGATAGCGCCGAGCTAAGAGTCCAGATTCTGAAATCTTTCCTCCAGGAGCGTATTTGTTAAAAACTTTCAAAAAAAAAAAAAGGCTAAAAAAAAAAAAAAATCGGTGCCATCTACCCTTTACCATCTAAGCTTATTTGGATATATTTATATCCAACTTAATCCACCTGTGTTAGAGTAGATTATGTGGAACTTAGATTAACTTCTACCTCAATCTATTTTAACATATGCAGATGTAGAATTTAAGATGGATACAAGTAAAAAATAAGCTCCGCAAACAAATAAACCTAGAAAAAACAAAAACCTTTGCCCTACCTGCTACCCCTAAAGGAACCACGAGACACAAACATCACCGGAGAAAAAACGTATTTATGCAAATGATCACAAAGGGAACATATGCTAAATATGTTGACATATATCTAGCAAACTCTTAAGTAATACAGTAAATCACACCGTCATTTGCATGTCTTGATACCGCCATTGGCATCAGATATGTCAACTCATTAGGTAAACAGAAACGTTGAACCCTAACAAAAGTAGCAGTAACAATAACTAGCTAGAGCACCAATGTATGAGATACTAATAAAAACCCTAACACTAGCCAGATTTATCAAATGTCTCGATACAAATTAGGCAGAACGAAATAATCAGATGTATAGTTACGACGGATCGAGCATGCACCATTGACCGTGTATAATAAGCAGACTCAGATGTCAGGAGAAAACCCATTGTCGTCGGAGGCTCGGGGCCGCTATTGATACGGCGGCGGGCGTGGGCGCTGTGCAGTTGCCGCCGGCGGCCACAACTCTTGGGACTGTCGCGCGTACAAGGGAACCGGCTGAGTCGCCGGCGGAGCCACCATGGTCTGCGGGTGCAACCCGCTTGCGTCGTGATGCTGCGGTGGCTGCTGATGCCCGTGCCCACGGTGACGGTGTTCGTCGGCTTCGGCGCCACTGCCGGAGACGGACGCCGCTGACGCGTCATCCTCGAGGGGGAGGCGGTGGAAGGTAAGGTCGGTGAACGCGGCAGCCAGGACAACGACGGTGGTGGCGGCGACGAGAGGGCCCACCACAGCGCCGCCGACGATCTGGCCGTGCGGACCGGCGAGCGATATCGAGAGGTCCCTGCTGACGGCGCCGGCGGCGCGGGGCACCGCCGCGGACATGGACGGGGCCAGGAAGGTGGCCGAGATGGAGAGGATCTCGTACCGGCCGCGGAAGACGACGACCGCGGCAGCTCCTCCGTCCGCGGACGACGCCGACGCCGGGTGGCGGAGCGAGACGTCGGCGACGGCGCCCGTGCCCGCGAGCACGCAGATCCCGAGGCCGCGGCGGCGAGCGAAGCCCGCGAGCGCGCGCGCGACGTCGCCGCCGCTGTGGATCTCGAGCACGTGCGGGCGCATGGCCGCCGCGGGCTCCACGTCCCGCGTGACCACCGGCGGCGGCTTCGGCTTGTTCTTGGACCCCGGCGGCCGCCCGCGCCTCCGCTTCCCCCCGGTCTCGACGCTCGCCGGCGGCCGTGAAGCAGAACCACTCCCGTCATTCACCTCCTCCTCCTCCTCCTCGCCGCAGCCGTTTCGGCTGTTCACCTCGTCGGAGAAGCACTCCATCGGCTGATGGAGGTCTTGGACCACCAGGAGCCTGCTGCCGCCGTCGCCGCGGCCTCCGTAAGGGCCCTCCTCCCGGTCCATGCCGCCGCGGCAAACGATTGCGATAGCGATGTGTCAGACGGCGAGAGGCTGGCTCAGCAGTAGCAGCTAGCTATAGTAGTTCTGGTGGCTGCGACGTGGTAGTAATAGTAGGAGGGCGGGTCCTGGATCGGCGCCTTTCCATGGCACGGCAGCTGGACGCTCGACTGGATTTCTTTTGGACTTTTGAGCCGGTCGGCGAGATATAAGCAGGAAATAGAGGATAAATAAACGGGAGGGGCATGCAGACAGGATTGGCCACCGGATCCGGGGCGGCGAATGATAATACGGGGCTGCGACTGGGCCCTGCTGCTGCTTTTGATCTCGCAATGCAATCTTTTGAACATCTCACGATGATCACGGCTTGCTTGCTTGCCTCTTTTGCCCTAATATTGACGGAGACCAGGGGTGCATGGTGGGTGGCTCCTGGATAGACTGCTGTACATACGCCATGCGGCTACGTGTGTCAGACTGCGTGCTGCAGGTGCGTCTTTCCGACCCGCCGGCCGGTGAGGTTGACGCTTTGGTGTAAAAACAGATCGGTCGAATAGCGCGGAGCCATCGATTCGGACTGATCACCAACCGGCCGGACGGCCGGGCCACCGCCGCCGCATCCTTTGACGGCACGGCAAGAAATAGGTGGGAGCTGGCCACGGCGACCGCGCGCGCGCCGCTCCATGTGCCGGCGACGCGCAACCGGCGTGGGCACGGACTGATCGAGCGAGACCACGCGTGTTGAAGGAGCACATCATGGCCGTTAATTTCGCGTGTTTAATTTGCGCGCGGCCGGCGCCGCAAAGGCAAAGGCAAAGGCAAAGCGCGCGGGTGTGCACGCATGGCATGGCAGATGCGCGGGGCGCGCGCGCGGTGGGCATCAGGCGGTTCGGGCGTCTAGTGGCCGGGCCGCCGGAGGAGCGTCCTGTGCTAGTGCTGGTCCGGGATTCGGGACGCGGGCCGGGACGCGAACGGGATCGGAACGAGAGCGCTGCATGCGCGGCAAGGCGTGTACGGCTCGCTCGAGGAGGAGCTGGGCAGTACAGGAATTCAGCGTGGAGCCTTGGACCGTACGTCATCACAGTGGCTCGCACGGGCGTTTTAGCCGTGATCGGGTGATCTGAACTGAACCTGGACTCCTGGAGTCACCACCACGTACGCCGCTAATGATCGTTTGTAGCTGAATTTTGAGGAACCGCTTGGAACTTTGCGGCATAATGTGGTGTACCTTTGCTTGCATGGACTCTCGTCACTCCAGCAACGAACCTGAGTTCGGTGACTCGCTTTCTGAATAACCGTGCTACTTATCTCATGTCTATCCATTTTCTTACGTCGTCATTATTCGTGTGCTCCGATCACTGTCGTTCTCTGTCATCGGCGATCGACATCCGACGGTGTGCCAACCTGAACTAGCTAGAAATTGTGGGTTTTTGGGTCGCTGGGTGTCCACAAGCTCAACAAAGGCTATCAACAAGCACGTGATGCATTAGGCCAACCAGAACCAGCAGATAGTAGGCCCCAACGATCGACCGGATCACCTTATCCGATATACTGGTCCTGGCCATCACTTGGGCCATGCAAATGCGGCTGCAGGGCTACGAATCCAAGGCCTCGCGTCGCCGGTCGTATACCTACCTATCCATCCCACATTCCCACCCGTGTCATTCAAGCAGAAGCGATCCCTATGTATGCATGCATGCATGCATATCAAACTTGTACTTGCAAACAATCGTGCCCAATAGTGACACGCCATCCGTTTGAGCTTTGGTAGGGAGTGTTTGGTTCCTCGCCGCAATACGCCACGCTACAGCTGTCGCTCGCCACGAAAAACGAAGGCTGCCAAAAAATGTCTGAGAGTACAAAAGTTGCCACAGAGTGTGCCGGCGAAATTTCACGCCACCAGTGCGGCGCACCGCACATTGCCGCATCTTTGTCGTGGCCAGCTCGCTGGTAAACAAATAGGCTTAGTCCCACAGATTCCATAGCCTGTGTCTAAGAGCATGTCCAGCGGTGTTATCCAAATTAGACCCTCTATTTCTTGGTTTGGGTAACCACCTATTTCAACATTACCTATTTTTTTGTTTTCTCCAGCAGCACTACGTAAAATAGACCTTCCAAAACTATTCTAACAAAAAATGACATGTGCGACCCATGTCATCCTCTCTCATGTTGTTCTCGCCATAGACGCCGGGGAGATGCGCCAGCAGTGTCGAGGCGGGCGTCAGCGCTAGAGCAGAGGCAAGGCGGAGGTGCGCCCGCGCGAGGGCAGGGCCACGCTGGGTAGGGCAGGCCGCGCCCCTGAGCGGATGGCGACTGGGCAGGCGGCATCGGCTGAGCGCCCGCCGATGGCCGATCGTCGACCACTAGGCAAACGTCGGTGGAGTTGAGCATGTCATGCAGGTCGCGCGAGTGGAGTCGTCGGGCGAAGAAGAATCAGAGGAAAAAATTTGGGTAGTCCAGAGTAGGACTATAGAAGGCCAATAGAAATAGATAGTGGACTGTAGGAGGCCAACAGAAAGAAATAGGTAGTGAAAGAATAGGAAGCCAATAAATTTGGTGATGCGGTAGGAGACCTCTACCGGAGTTGATTTTTTTGCCTCCGCTACCTCACTACCTAGATTGGGAGTAGAGGTGCCACTGGAGTTGCTCTAATAAACTTTTGGATTGATCTTATGATCTACTACTATGTCGATCCCATGGAAAATGCAACGTTTGTTTCAGGTTCCTCGGGATTATGTCATCAAGTTAGACATTTAACTTCTATGGACTACCACATTTCTCCTCTCTTTTTACACATTGCAGCGAGATAATATTATAGGCTACATTACATTATTTCTCTACAGCCCAAACCCTGCACATCAATAAAATGTTTGGGCGGTCCTGTCCCTAGATGGTCTTCTCAATAAGACACCGCCCCTGGTTTCTCCAGGGTCATGTCCGCTCCTATCTAACTGCCTATACTGGTATGTTAACTTACTGCTCAACTGCTGATTACTTCTGTCAGTATACAACAAGGACGGGCTTTCATCGCCCTCAACCCAATGCCCACCGGAACCACAATGAAGCTTGTGCTCCGCAGAGCTATCCGCACTGTATGCCTCCCGGCCTGATGAGCTGGTATTCAAGCTGGACCTCGAACGGGAATACGTCGGATAGTCACTCTGATAGTCACTCTCCACAGGTGCTCCTCCCATGGGGCCTCCTGGGTACATCTGATCAGCAGCTCCAAACACGCACTCATACTCCTCGGTGCTGGTCGAGTTCCTCGTGCTCTCGCTGCTGTCGGTGCTGACAGTGCTGTGCGACCCTGCGTCCGAGTTGCTGAAGAGGGATGAACTCTCGCTAGGACTCGGAGAATCTGAAGGTGAATATGGTGCATCTCTATATTCGTCAAATGCATGGGTAAGGTCATCTGCCGTGTGGTCCCTATGTGGCTGACCAGTTTGATGCCTGTTTAAGGAACCTCCTCGCCATGTTGTCCCTCCTAGAACCACCTTCTGTTTGGCCTTCTTGGGGTGTGTTGGGTCCCCCATAGCCTGCCTAACAGAGTTTGGTGCCCTCGGTGAACACCTGATTTAATTAGAATAGGAATTAGAATATCATGACAAAGTCCTCACAGGAATACACCGGACAAGTGAGTGAATCAGTTAAATAAGAGAATCCCAGTAATCACCTTGCATACAGCAGCATATATGCACACTTCGACATAACATTGTCCAGAGATACAGGTTTCACCTGCAAACAATAAGGACCAGTTATTAAGCGCATATTCTCTCTGATGACAACCCAACACAGTTTTTTCCCCTTGAACATCATGCAGGAGTTATGTATCATTGCATTATGGAGACGTATTAGAATACAACCCACACACCCCCAACTAGGATGATAACACATAGTTAGGCAGAGGAGTATCAATTAGGAGGACTCAAGTTTTGACGTACAACATTTTACTATTACAAACAAATTAAATTATTCCTCACTATTCCAATAATACACAGAATCTGGTCACTATTATAGTAAGATCCATATTATGATCATAGTTTCATATTCCCAAGGATTATAGATTCATTCGTGGTCACTAAAAAGCACAAGGGCCTGTTTTGAAGGAATTTTCATGAATTACTTTATATTTTGTACTAAATCCTAGAAATTTGGAACTCAAAATCACCATTCCAAACAAGCCCTATTCATGAGAGCAGAACCATGAGATGTCCACAAAGAGTAAGCATACCTGACTGTCGTCTGCCTTAAACCACTTTCCCTGTGTATCTTTAACATAACATACATAATGGCCAGAGAAGGCAGCATTCATGACATCATGATGGACAACCACTGCATAGAGGCTGTAAATCGGCGATATGTCATCAGTATCTGGGTTCATATAGCGAAGCATGTTGAGGGTTTCTGGAAATCTGATGGCTTTGCTGATCTTTCCAAACTTGCCAGACTGCACATAAAAGGGCAATTGTTTAGCGTATCTCAACAAAACTCGATTCCTACCAAATACATGAAGCTACAAACATTTCATTCTTCTATTGTACAATGTAGTTGCCATCTCTATTGCCAGGACAGTGTTCATAACTTCATATAGAACTTTCAAAATGTAAATATTAGATGACAATGATAATCTAGATGGTACCTGATATCTTTTCAGTGCAATAGTCAGAATATTCGGCGCTTCTTCTATTGTCAGCTTCTTTTTAGCACGCTCATAGGATTTGCATCTGAAAAGACAGAGTAGAGCTAGGAGAATGAGAATTTGGCCAAAGAAGAATTGAATACGGGGCTAAAAGAGAAGTGAACCATCAATACATCACTAGAGTAGTGAAACAAACTAAGAATATGATAATAGATTGCTTTTCTTTTATTTTCTTTTTCCTTGAACACACAGGAGATCTGCGTATCTTTGTATTATTAAAGAGGAAGAACAGCCCCATACAACACAAACCCCTTATCTCACTAGAGAATAAGAAGGGATTACCTTAATAAAAAGACTAGAAACAACAAACACCTTAAATAAAAAACTAAGGAATGACCCTAGCCCAGACAAACACCTAGATGGCTTTTATAATCAAATTTACTAGCACAATTTGTTCAACCCTTCGGATTTTTTAAGAGGCTTTTTCTTTCAATCATTTTCAGCATCTAACAAATTATTGCCATGAGGCTGAATATAATGATGCACAAAAATGTCATTTGTCCTTCGATGACATAACAAGTTCTGGAATCTCTAATCCACATTAGCAACCAGAACAAAAAGACATGCAGGAGACTATCAGTTCTTTCCAAAATCAAGAGAAGGTGACATTGAAGTCCTTGGTAGTCTTAGAGATTCAGTGAAAGTCAAAAGATCATGGTCCGCAGATAAAATTAGCAGAAATAGGCACAAGAAGATCAGATGAAGAAAGACCAAGAGCAGTAACAAAACCTGCAGCAGTGATATTTGTTTTCTCCATCCAAGACTTCTGTGGATGTAAACCGCACAAGTGCCTCATCGAGCGAGCTAATGTCACCATCTATTTCAACAGTAAGATCCAACATGGGCTCACATTGCTCAGAACTAACATGGCACCTTGAACATTTGATCTAGGAACAAATAGACGAAAGAGGAAGGAATAATCAGTAGAGGTGTAATAAAGATTAGCTTCACCACATAACTAGTCTAAGGTACCTGAATATATCAAAATAAATAATTGTAAGCTCTATGCAAAGAAAACCTTAGATCGCAAATAGCCCCCAAATATCAATTGCACAAAAGTTGTTTCTTCCGCTGACCAAAGAACACCTCCTTTTCTTGCTTCCTTCATGCATACGGATTGCATAGCATCAATTGCATACCTGTAAACAGAACAGGTACTGTTCTTTCAATAAAAGTAGGGTGCCTTTGTTCAATTCGGATCAGGTATTGTTGTTCCATCAAAGAACTCCCACATATAAATAAGTTAGCTAAGATCAACTAAGTTTTTTGTTTAATGCATGAGAATTACTACCTCCAGTCACAAAAACTTGTCACATTTGACTTTACATGGTCTTCGATGCATATTTTTAACCAATAATATCTTCTAGAATATATTCTTAAAGTCCTTCAAATTTATGACATTTTGCAAATTTTCCAATATAAATCTAATATATAGAGTATACTGCATACCTTCAAACTAAAAGATTTAAAAGTTATTGATGTTTGTTAAGGTTTGACCAAATCTTGTCCTAAATGACATGTTTTTGTGACTAGATGGAGTACAAAAGCAAAGTACCCAAAATAAAGTGGTCTAAATAAAGGAACCAAATAACTATCGTGGATCCATTGTTCTATCGAGTTCTCTAAGTAGTGATTCAGATAGCATTTGCATAGTTTGAATGGCCATAACGATTGGGGGACAATGTTTTCAAACCAATTACTAAATGGTAATGCAACTTGCATTTGTTCAAAGAGGGTAAAATCAAATCAACACATCATAATTGTAAAGTAATTTGCTTTTGTGTTACAAATTCAGCCCCAGTAGAACATCTAAATAAGCCACTAGGGCGAAAGAGCTCATCCATATGTAGTAAAACAGCCCATCCAGATCTAGTATACAATTGTTTTTTCTTCCATCGACACATATATCCACAATAGTCGGCCACTTAATGGCAAAACCTCAAATAAATTCAAAATACTGATTAAACTGTCATGAAAACCTCTAAATTCAATCCTTTCCACATTTTGCTGCACGTAGATTCTTTATAATTATGAGCTGCTCCAGCTTCTTGAAGCATCAATTGTAGATGAAAAACAAAAAAAAAAGGAAATAAATAATGCTGCCTTACCTAAGAAACTCATGAGCATCTTCTTGTTTACCAGGACCCAAGCTACTGCCAATGTCATGCAAATGAGAGAGTATCCCAGTTGGTGACAAGGCAGTCTTGCGCCGTTTGCCCTCCAGAATGAGTTTTTCAAATTCACACATGAAGCACCATCCTTTTTGAGAACCTACAGCACATGAGGTAGAGGTATTATACGAATAGTCAAGCACATAGTAAAAAAGTAACATGACAAACATAGTAGTGGAGAATTACAGTTTTTTGAGTGAAGCCCTTCCAAAAGATATGTTGTGAGTGGTCGAGTAAACATCAAGCACTGAAGAACAACATTTGCATAGCAACTGCAAAAGAAAGCACGGATTAGACAAAGCGAACAACAACATTGCACTGAACTTAAGTCCAGTTAAAACAACTCACTTCTTAACCTAAGGTCTATGCAATGGAAAGGAACAAGATCAGTACTAATATAAATATACTTGGCTCATGCTATAATCCGCCTCAAAGCGCCATCCTCTAATTTATATGCACAAAGTAGACTTTAATGGAAGTAAATCACAAATATTCTAGGAGCATACACTTAAGATTTTACAAAGGCCCAGACCAAATGGATAAAACCTTAATGAGCAAGCACATGTATGCATGCCAGTTAACCTTCCTACTCTTACTTCTTGAAAAACGATTCACTCTTTACCTGTTGCCAACGTTATGAAGACCAAAAAGGTGCAACTCAACCTTGCCGTAGAGCTTCACAAAAAGTTCATATGGGAAGAGTGTCTGACACAAAAGATAACTATTAGCAGATACAAGAGAGAAAAATAAGATGCTAAGTACAAAGAGATATTCAATTATCTTACCGATTCTGATGGATAATGCATCACAACTTTTGGTGCAGTTTGCTGCCTGACCATTTTCTTCAGAGATGTTGCAAGATTATTTGCTGTTGAACCTGACCTATCTGAAGGTTTTTTAAAACTTCTATCAGGAAGATTATCTGCTACTTTAGATGGATTAGGTGTAATGGAACTACTCCCACGAACTGAAGTGGCTGTGTCAACAGTCAATGCAGATGGCACAGGTTTCGTGCTCTGAATGCTGTCATTCCCAACAGGTTTTGTTTTAGACCTCTCAAGTTCCACATGAATAGGAGTCCTAGAACTTTTGGGCTCCAAGACAACAGATGCAGCTGCTTGGGGAATGCTACTGTCTTCAACCTCTCTGTTATTGTTTGTCTGAGAACAATCCTCAACAACACTGGCATCCTTGGCTCTTTGGTGTTCCTTGGAATGATTGCAGAATTCTTCGCTTACAAAACTTTTATGACCATTTATGTTTGGTGGACAAGCCTGAGACTTACATGGCGACGCCCCATTTAAGTCCACAGTGGAAGAACCATCTTCAACAAAATTTGCATGTTTGATACTTGATCCCATCTTACTATTGTCAACAGACACTGGAACATTTTGAGAAATTTCGACCGTGCTGTTGGACTGATGACCTCCAGGAACCTCTGCACTGGTACATACCGCTTCTGAAGGCATATGTTTACTTTTACCATTTGAACTCTTCAAATTATGGTTTGCATCAGAAGTTCCAGATCCAACAACTGGTTTGTTCATTTCAGCAACCTGTTTAACACCAACTGATACATTCTCTTCGGCAGCTCTTCCCTGTTCAGCCTTTCCTTCATCATCGGGCCTAGTATTAACACTTGGTGGATGGCATTCATCTTTGTGACCTTGTCTCCAGTGGGCTATCTGGCATTTGAAGGAACTACAAAACAGAAGGTGACATTCAAGTTAAGAAGCTAAGAAAGTCGTGGATCTTATCAACGTACAAAATACTGCAACATGCCAACATTATTTGCTAACTCACAGATGTCCATACGATTTCACCCAGAAAAAAAAAAACAGCAGGACCTATCCAATCACTCATCACTTTACCTCAAAATGTAAAAATGAAATCTAGAAACACATCACGTAAACTTGCGGACAAGCAGATGCATGATCGATCTACAGCATACTAGCTTCCATATCCTATCGAGCCAAACAATTTCTTGGTGATTCAGTAGTCTTGAAGTACATAGGTAGATAGACAAATATGGGATGATGAGGGCCAGCGCATGCCGTTTTAGTTAATACTTGACAGCTGTACTGTTGTAAGAAAATATTAAGTGTGTGGTATTATTGTAGGTTGTAACACCTAGAGGTTAGCTGGTGCATTTACTCACCATAAACCAAGCATGTCATGCATGGGACTTCCTACTGTCAAATACTACCTCGGGCTCACTATACTTGTTTTAGCCTCTTCCAATAATATCGTCAAAATACTTGTTATACAAGTTCGAGGTAACTTTGACCCATTTTTTGGCATGGTCCCTAAAAACACACTTTGACCACTGATTATTATTATCATATCTCCATAAATCTAGTCTAGTACTCTGGTAGTATCGCATCACACATCCACACCCACACATAGATGAAAATTACTTAGATGTAGGGAATTAATATGGAAGAATTAGGTTTGTGAAAAAATCAGTGTGCGAATAAAGTATCAATCATTTTCTGTCACATAGTTGAATATACGAACAGATCAATGCCAGTATTTTTGTCCATGCAATTGGTAACCTGAAGGCATGGAAAATAACATGCAGTCTCACTATGAGAAGGTTATACCATGAGACATGTTGTGGCCTAAATTGTTATAAAAAAAATACAGACTAAATTGGCAGGAACCTAGATTCTAAGCAGCAGAGACATGGAGACGGGGATCTGAAACAAATTGTTTTTGATTATGTAAGTATGAAGCTATCAGGGACTGAGAGAATATGATAGCCATCGAAAGCTCTATCGAATCCGAGTTTCTGTGTGGAATCAGCAATGCTGTGAATCCAATCCACCCAAGGTCGAGCGATGACTAAAAACAGTCATAAGGATTAAATGGAGGGGTTAGCGGTGCCCTAAATCAGGGTACCATTCCCAAAGGTTTGGTGGAGAGTCTAAATTTTGTGGAACTACCAAAAAATTGTACCAAATACAGGACCACTCCACTCCCAATTGTACAAATCACGGACTATCTTCCCACAATTCCCCCAATCACTGGATGAAATTAAACAAACTGGAGATGGAATCAGGGTGCAGGGAGGGAAGCCAGGGATTCAACCCACTCACCAGTACTTGACGGCCTTGCACTGCTTGCACCTGAACGTGGTCGGCTTGAAGCACACCGCACAGACCCCCTTTGCCCCCACCGGCGGATGGGGCTGCGGCTGCGGCTGCTGCTGCGCGTCGAAATCCTCCTGCGCCGCCGGGCCTGGAACCGCCGCCACAGGCACCGGCGGCGGGCCCCACTCGGGCGCCACGGGCACCTCCGCGGCGTGCACGACGCCCGGGAACAGCTCAGAGTAGTAGGCCAGCACGGACTCCCGCTCCGCCAGCTCGGCCTCCTCGGCCGCGAGCCGCGCGAGGCGGCGCACCTCCTCCCTCCGCGCCTCGGCCCGGCGCCAGCGGGCCCGCACCAGCAGCGCCACCGCCGGCACCACGACGAGCGCCACCAGCGCCAGCGCCAGCGCCGCCGCCGAGGACGGTTCCGCCTCCTCCTCCATTGGGCCACCCCCTGCAGCGCCCCCTCCCCCTCCTCCTCCTCCTCCTCCTCCTCCACCTCAGCCCGGCCCTCCTCCCCCTCCGCGCATAGATCTCGGCCCCGCCGCTCCTACTCGCCGGATCCGGGCCCCGATTCCCACCTCACCCGCGCAAATCCGCTGCAATTTAGACCCAAGGCACCGGCGGTAGCGGTATCCGTCTCCGGTCTGCGCACGTGCCCGAGGAATAATTAAGACGACTTGTGGAGGGGGCGAGGTGCAAAAGGTGCCCGACGACGAGACAGGCAGGAAGAACGGGGCAAGTAGCGGATAGCTTACGATCGCAACGGCGCGGTACGAGACAGAGACAAGAAGAAGAAAGGAATGGGTTCCCAGGGGGGGACGGTACCGTGGGCTCGGGTTCTCCGTCTGTCCGTGCGGACGCGCGCGCGCCTGGCCGTCCGATGGGCCTCGTCGGCCGGGTCCTGGCCGTTGATCGGATATTCTTTTCGCGGGGGCTGTGTGCGGCATACGGAGAGGCAAGTGCTTTCCGCGGGAGAGGAGGAACGCGGGTAGGAAACTGTGTGTGGCAGTACCCGCCATTATTCCGGGGGTGGGTCCCACGGCCTGACGAGCGGGTCCTACCCGTGATCGAATTGTTTCCCTCTTTGGTCTGAGTTCTGCTAGGGAAAGAAAGCGTTGGCACTGATACATCGAATATTGCGTTTCAATGGTATGTAAATGATTTGTTCCTTTATTTGCGTAAGAGATACGATCTGTGTTTTCTTTTTCTTTTGCGAGCTAGATATTCATAGGAAGTATTACTACTCGTAGTAATATGCATTTATTGGAGTGCTATCTTGGTGAAGGTATTTTTATTAGGAAACTTTGGTAAACCGAACTTTTCATGCGTGTTGTTTCCTTGTGTCACGTCACTTAAGACGAACCTAGTACGTGTTTTGTTGGAAGTCAATTCTTACCAGGGCCTTGTTTAGATGCCACCAAAATTCCAAGTTTTTTCACTCTCTCTCCATCACATCAATTTTTAAGACGAACCTTAAATGTACGTGTTTTGTTTAGTTGGAAATCACGATGAATCTTTTGAGCTGGCCTAATTTTCACAAATAAAGGCGAAAGTGATGTCTTACCAGCATTTTTTCGGTTCCCCATCCCCATCCCATCGGATCGGATCGGATTATTTAACAAACCATCATGGCAATCCCAATGCCAATGCGTCCAAAAATAAAACTTGATCACCTTCCAATCAGGCCGCAATGATCGACTGTAAAGAAAGGTGACATAGGATTTTTTTTTTTGAGATTATTAGGTGACGACATAATAGGATGTTGATAGGAGTGAAACTTCTCCGACGGAAATTAGCGTGTGATGACAAGACAAGCGCTGAGGCACCCAGCCGTTTCCTGTTGTGCAATAGCAGTGTTCAGCGAACCAGGCCTCCATTTTCCAACAACTTTTGCTGTTTTGCATCACCCACCGGAGAAATCCAAGGTTCGTCCGAGATTTTCCGCGTCCAAGGTTCGTCCGAGATTTTCCGTCCAAGTTTCGTCCGAGATTTTCCGCGTCCAAGGTTCGTCCGAGATTTTCCGCGTCCAAGGTTGGGGTTTAGTTCCGCGCATCCGTCGATTGCCGGTAGAGAAAAATGGGACGAAACAACATGGCCGCACGCGCGCGCAGGCGTGCCAGGCAAGCCGCAAGCCCGAACGACCGACGCCCCAGGGGCTGGCGTCCTCCAGGCTCCAATCCACCTCCTTTTGGGGTCGTCGTCGACCGCCGCGCGCCACGCAACAGCGCACGCGCGCGACAAGTGTCGCCCGGCCGCGTGGTAAGCGCGGAAGCTGCAGCTGCCAAAGCCAAAGCCCCGGGCTCACGTAGTCACGTGCGGCGGCCGGCGGCCTGCGGGCGTGGCGCGCGCGCGACGTCAGCCACGTACGCGCCGCCCGCCGCCGGGGAGTCTGTCGGTCGGAGCCGAAGCCATCGGCATCGGGCGCTGGGCGCAGCGGTCGGCTGGTGGAGGGGATGGCAGACGACCGCGGAGAAAGTAGACGATCCCCGGGTGCCACTTGCAGTGCGATCCTCGTCGCTCGCTGTCGCTGGAGATTAATTGTTTTTCGCTAGTAATTAACACTGTCCTGGCTCTCGCACGTCGGTGAAAGATACGTACATATTGTAACTCGTACGGAAGAAGAAGAAGAAGGGAGAAAATTAGAAGGCTTTGAGTCCACTGCACGTGCGCGACTAGCTGTTGGTCGAGCGAGGCTCTGGGTCTTCGATAGACTTGGGCTGATCGTGCGTACTGCCATGACATGAACGTGGACAGCACCGGTGAAGTCTGAGCTCTGAAGTCCACGAACTGGTACTGGAGAGTAGCTATTTTGAATTTTTCCCAAGCGGAGCAGTACTCGGGCCATGTTTAGTTACCCATATGTACTACCATTAAAAGCCGTACTTGTTAGGTAGCTTGTGGTGTGGCTTAGGGCATGTTTGGAGTACTATATGTTGATGAAATTAAAACTAATTGTAAAAAGATTTAGTTGTATTAAATTTGCGATACTTTGAGCCTAATTAGTCAACGATTATATGTTATTACCAAATAAAAACTAATTGCATAGTTTGGTTGTATTTTATGAGACTTAACGTTTTAAAGCCTAATTAGTCAACGATTGAATAATTATTTCCAAATAAAAACAAATACTCTACCATATGTACTACCATTAAAAGCCGTACTTGTTAGGCTTGTGATGTGGCTTAGGTTCCAACTTGTCCACCTAGTAAAAGTCTTAAACAGGGCCTTATTTAGATTGTAAGTTTTTTCACTCTCTCTTCATCACATCAAATCTTTGATACATGCATGAAGTATTAAATGTAGATAAAAAAAACTAATTACACAGTTTAATTGTAAATTACGAGACGAATCTTTTGAGCCTAGTTAGATCATGATTGGATAATAATTATCAAATACAAACGAAAATGCTATAATACCAAATACTGATTTCCAACCATCATCTAAACAAGGCCCTAAAGAGTATTCGGCCAAACATCACGTTGTTGTGTGTTTTCTAGCGCATCACCCTCACGTTGTGTTGTGTTTTCTAGGCTTCTAGCGCGTCAAACTTTTCTACCTTTTTCCTATCAGCGTCGTATGACGTACTATTGTCTAAGCTCTTCGGTTCGCAACCTATCCGGTGCTTTCCAACGCCGGTCGGTTAGATGCACCCGACGAGGACCGCGAGGACCAGCCGGTAGGGGCGTAGTAGGGCCGCCCGTTTTCGTAAGTGGGGCCTTGCTTAGTTCGGCAGGAATCGGCACTTGTGAAGTGTCTGATGTGGCGGTAAATATTGTAGTAATTTTATTTGTATTTATAAATTATTGTTCAAATATTAACTAATTAGACTCAAAAGATTCGTCTCGTAAAGTTCAACCAAACTATGCAATTAGTTTTTTATTTTATCTATATTTAGTACTCCATACATGTACCGTAAATTTAATGTGACGGGAATCTTTTTTTTGCATAGTGTCAAAATTAAAAGTTTGGGGAACTAAACACCGCCTGGAGCTATAGGCAAATTTCAGGGGAGTTTTTAATCACACTATAAGATCATGCTTGCGCCTTGCAATGAGAAAAAATATCATGAAAATTCAGATCTAAAAGTCGTTGTACTATTAAAAAACGATATTTTAAACGAGATGTGCCCAACATTTCTTATGTAACTAGATCCATCTTCACCATACATGGATAACTAGAATGTAATTAAGTTTTGATATGAAATCAAAAAATCTAGTTCATAGAGTAATAATTGAGTTCATTACAACTGTCTATTCTGTTACATCGATCTGCGCCCTGTTCGTTTGGGTTTGTTTGGCTTATAAGGTATGGCTGAAAGTACTATTTGGACTGATTTGGTGTGACAGAAAAATATTGTTCGTTGGCTGATAAGTCATGGTTTATAAGCCAAATACGACCAAACGAACAGGCTACTTGTGTGTGATGCGCCTTAAGGCATAACTAATATACAGAACAAAGAGGACCTCGCCTAGTGGCATGAGCCTGTGGCTTGCTCCGTGCCGACCAGCGTTTGAGTTCCAGACTCGACGTTCGTCCCTCACCTCGAGATTTATTCTCCGTTAATAATTTCAGTTGCCTCTCACGCTGATGTGTCACAATAGTCAAGTGACGTGCCCGCCACGCTCGGAGTCTGGTGATCTTCGAGTATCTCATTACGTTCGTTGTCTAAGTATAGTTATAGATTTGTTCGTATACAATGTGAGGTGTGCGTGTGTGTGGTGGTGTGTGTTTGTATTCGAACAGATACTACCGTTGTTGTACTTAGATAAGAGGAAAAAAATACATAACAAATAGAACCTAAATGTGTTGTATAGGTGAAGAGAGGAATGAGTAGTACAGATTTATTTTTTCACATGCCTGGCCATTAAGAGGAGCAATTTTATACTAAATGTAGCATGTAATGAACCTAAATACCAGCACACAAATCGTGGTTCCAGTTGCATGGTAATGGATAGCATTGGTTTCTTATTACATTGTTGTTGCCGCTCCAAGAGGGCTGAACCAAACAACATATACTCTCTTCAAATGTACACTACACCAGCTATGATCTTTAGGGCCGGCTTTGTCCCTAAAAGGGTGGCTATAAATCGCTGATTTATAGAGAGAAGTACAAATCAATTTTCAAAAATTCACAAAATCCGGCCCAAAAAAAAAAAAAAAAAAAAACCTAGGGATGTCGCAGAACCGACCAATTTATAAGAATACAAGTACAATGGCAACCCAATCTCTCCTCCCACATCACTGTACATCACACTCACTTATATCCATATTGAATTTTGGTTCCCCATATTATCCTAAACGGGTCTCGATAAATTGATTTACAACAACCAAGATTCAATGAAAAGATTCAACATATATGCCAGTTTTACATACTTTTCACATCTACAACTTTCATTTTAGTAATTTCTCCATCCGAGGTCGTTTAATTCAAACATAGTTT